TGCTGGTGAAGGGAACGTCAGTGTTGACGGCAACAACAGAAGAATCCTTTGGAAGGAAGCGGACGGTCTACAGTGCACCATGGGCGACAAACACGAATCCTTGAGGCGGCTGATTGGCGGCGGTGGATCGGGTGTTAAGATGGAGGACGGTACGCTTGTGTTCCCAGTGGAAGGCACGAAGAAGGATGACACAGGAAAGGATAAAAAGACCGTTTCGCTGCTCATATACTCCTCGGATGCTGCAGGTTGGACGCTGTCGAAGGGGATGTCTGACGGTGGTTGCAGTGATCCCTCCGTGGTGGAGCGGGAGAAGGGCAAACTCATGATGATGACTGCGTGTGATGATGGCCGCCGCAGGGTGTACGAGTCCGGTGACAAGGGGAATACGTGGACGGAGGCCCTCGGGACACTCTCGCACGTGTGGGGCAACAAAAGGGAGGGAGAAGGGAAGGCCGTTGGGGGCGGGTTCATCATAGCGACTTTTGGCACTGGAGCTGATGGGAAAAATGTGATGCTCGTTACTCTGCCGGTGTATGCCAAAGAAACACAAAATGAAAAAGAAAAGGGCGAACTCCATCTTTGGCTGACGGACAATACGCACATTGTTGATATTGGGCCGGTATCTAGGGAGGATGACGAAGATGCTGCCGCCAGCTCCCTGTTGTACAAAAGTGCTGGAAGTGGAACTGATAGTAATAATAATGATGAGTTGATTGCACTGTACGAAAAGAAGGACGGTGGGGGGAAACCATCAAACAGCCTTTGGTCTGTGCGTCTGACTGCGCAGCTGGAGCGTGTGAAGGATGTGCTGGCGACCTGGAAGGAAGTGGACAAACATGTCTCCCAGCTGTGCCCTTCTGAGAGCGCTGTGCAGGCTACCTCACCTGACAGTGCCTGCAAAAACACTAAGATCACGGATGGGCTGGTTGGCTTTTTGTCCGGCAACTTTTCTGATGACACATGGAGGGACGAGTACCTCGGAGTGAACGCCACAGTAAAGAAGGGAGCGGAAGAAGGAGCGGCAACGGGCATAGCAGAGACTACAGAGTCTTCTGATGGAGTGACGTTCCGGGGAGCGTGGGCGGAGTGGCCCGTTGGCGAGCAGGGGGAGAATCAGCTGTACCACTTTGCGAACTACAACTTCACTCTTGTGGCGACGGTGTCCATCGACGGTGAGCCGACGAAGGAGGGTCCTATTTCTTTGATGGGTGCGAAGATGAAGGATGCAGAGAATCCAGTACTTCTTGGACTGTCGTACAGCAACGACGAAAAAAAGTGGCGGATGCTGTGCGGTGGGAAACCGACGGAGGTGCAAAACCGCATTGAGGGGCAAGAGAAAACACACCAAGTGGCCATTGTGCTGCAGAACGGCACCCAGGGCTCCGCGTACGTTGATGTTCAGCGTGTGGGTGCGCCATGTAAATTGGAAACTACGAATTCTAAAGGGATTTCCCACTTCTACATTGGAGGGGATGGAGGCAACACAGAGAGCCGAGAAGACGTGTCTGTGACGGTGACGAACGTCCTGCTGTACAACCGCCCGTCGGATGACGATGATATTACTGCTCTTAATGCAATTAAAGCCCCGATTACGCCTCCGAAGGAAACAAGTGCGTAGGAAATCGTGTTGCCGTCTCCTGATGGAACACCGCATGCGGGAAAGGAACCTTTGAATGGAGGTAAAGGTGCTGACGGTGGAAGTGCATCCCCATCAGCAGTGTCCGCTTCAACGACTTCCGTACCTGTGGGGCAGACCGTACAGCAGTTGGTTTCTGAAACATCTTCCGATGGAAATGCAGATGTGGATGGCGCTTTCTCGTCTAGCGGTAACCCAACGGTGGGGGAGGGGAGTGTAGATACGATACAGGGGGATGGACCACACACACCTTCCGTGGGTAATGCCGCCGCCACAGCAGATACAAACTTTCTTACCGCTGAAACCGTGGGGCACGATGGACCCGCATTGACAACTGATGTGAGCGTGAGCTCTGGTGCGGATGGGGAGACGGCAGGAGGAACGGATGGGCAGGAGGAGGAGCAGATCCATCCGCAGGACAGGGACGTAAATGCTATGGCCCTCAGCAGCAGTTTGGGAAATTTGTCGCAGGGGAATAACAGCGATGCCGGCACTGTGCGTGAGAGGAGGGTGCTGCCGCTGCTTCTTCTGCTGTTGGGACTGTGGGGGTTTGCGGCTCAGTGAGGGGTGACTGGCTGCCGCGTGGGACACTTGCGACCTCCCCTGCACAGAATTGCGTCCAAGAACTAATTCTTTCCCTTCAAATAAATTTTCTTTTCAAATAATTTTTTCTTTTTTTGCTTATTTTAAATTTAATTTTCCTGTTTGCTACTTTCTTTTTGTTTTTGTTTCTTTTTGTTTTATGTGCGTAATATAAGGCTTTTTTTTGCGTTTTTTCAATGTTTTTCTTTTTCTTTCAAAAATATTTCTGTTTTGCTGTTTTAATTTTTCTAATCTCTCATCCCCTTATCCCTTCACTTTTTTGCTTTTGGGGCAATCACTATGGACGTTTTTTGTTTCTTTTCTACTCTTCTCTCTTCTTAATTGTTTCATGCAGCGCTCTTCCTGTGAGGGGTGCCGTGTGTTTCCCGCCCAACTGCTCCACTCGCACACCCACCGACACGCTCATGACGACGGCCCTGTGCGCCTCGCCTGCTGCACGCATGAGGAGGGGCCGCGACGAACGGCGCGCTGAGGGAGCCGTGACGTGTGGGCGTGCGACGAGGGCCTGTGGGGCGGAGCACACATTTCTTTCCCTCTTGTTTTGTTTCGTTTGCGGCCAGGGCGGGCAGACACCCGCAGCACCACACACACAGCCACACCCTGCCGCCGTGTTTTTTTTTCATTTTTTTGCTTTTGTGTGAATTTCTTGCGCCGTGCGTGATTGTTGGTGTCGGGACCGTACCGCATGTATCGTTGCCATCCAGCTATGCCGCTCGCTGTGCTGATGTGCCTCCCTGTGCTCCTCTTTCCCGCTTCTCCTGCAGCACACACACAAGTACTTGCACAGTGCTATGCAGGAATGCTCTTGGCGACGAGGCTCATTGGCTGCAGTGACTTCCACCAGGCCTGCAGTGGGTGTGCCGGTGGCGTGGTCTTCTTGGTGCGCCACACCTTGCCGTGCGAGCGCCTGTCTCTGCTGGCACCAACTGCGTGGAGACCACCGCCCCCCGCGTGTGCCCACCGGCCTGCCCCAGCATGCACGTGGTGAACCTCTGCAACCTTCCATCGGCAATTGCCCACGCTGCTCACCTTGCGAGCACCATTCGTCGCTCTGGCTCTGCAGCGCCCATTGCGGGTGACCTGAATCTACACCATGAGCTGCGTGACGGTTGCTCGCCTTCAACGGCGTCAGGAGAGAACCTCGCCGCCACCCCAAGCGGCATGGACTCTGAGCTGTCAGACGACCCGGCACAGGCAGCGCGGATCAGCGGCCGCCGCGTCTTGTTTCCGACGTGACTGCGCAACGCGTACTGCGTGTCTCCCACTGGACGTCCACTTGTTTGCATGGAGTCGGATCACCATCTGCCATCCCACACTGCGGGGACGGAGGACGGCATCCCGCGACAGGCAGGCATGCTGCCACGAAGGAAACATGCTGCCTTTGCCCTGCGTGCAGCTGACTGGAATGATTCCACCACGGCGTGCGCAACGCCTCTGGCCACTGTGATCACATGGTTGGAAATGCACCGAGGCACCATACGAGCGGCAAGGCGCACCATCCCGTGCGGCAGCCGTGTCATTCCCACATGTATCTGGACGGACGGAATGGAGCATGCCGAGTCCACTGCAGCGGCAGCATGCAACGCGCACACTGCCTCACCAGGAGGCAGCCTTCCCGAGCTGAAGTTGCCCGCAAACGGGAGGACCGCAATCATGCCCTCCGCGGTGGTTTCTCCATGCTGCTGGAGGTCCGTGCAAAGCAGCTTGGTGCCCTCTCGAGCCAAGGCCTGTGATACCCCGAGGCATGGCGGCACCACGTCCCCGCTCTCTGGGATCGGCTGTGCTGCGGTACTCTTGGGCCTGCGTCTGTGCTCTGCCTCGGCAGCAGGTAGAACCGCTCGTCCGTCACACTGTCCGCGTCTCACGTGCTGCGATCCCCACAGCTGCCTGCACATTTTGTGCTCGCGTGCCTCCTGGTGGCTGGAATATTGATTGGCCCTTCACGCCGTGTGTGCCTGACTCGGCCATCCGCGACTGTTTGCCTGGCATTGCCCCTGGCCCCGGCGGCGTATTGAGTGCGTTTCTGCTCCATCTTGTACCCGCTGCCCGCTGCTCGCACAGAACGATGATCAACACCTCCCTCGCCGACGGCATCCTGCGAAGTTGCTGGGAAATGGGGACACCACTCCCATCCGCAGACACGGGAAGGACACACGCCGCACCGAGAAAGTTGTCGGCCACTCCCGCTGCTCTCTGTCCTGCTAGGGGTGAGCGAAGGACTGGTTTACTGCCGCCTGTCAGCACTGCTGGCACACCACCGACGTCAGCCTGGATCCACGCCACGACGCACGGCCTCGGAGTTGGTGACGCCTGTGAGTGACGAAGCGGCACGAGGGCTGAGCGGGTGCATCGCTGTGGAGTGCGGGCGTCGCAGGGGCGTCATCCCGCGCTGCACCGTCGCCGTCGCCGCTCTCTCGCCGTCCCGATCGGCATCTCGACTGCGTTCGACACCGTTGGCGATGGGCGAGTGTTGGCTGTGCTCTGCGGGCTCCCGCGCGTGGGCCGTCGCGCCCAACGCTGGTAGCGCAATCGCCTGCGAGGCGGCTGCGTTGGGGTGAGTGCTCGCGAGCAATATTCCCGACAGCAGCTTCCCTCAGCCGTGGCAGCCCAATGCAGCGTCGTGCGGCCCCAGCTCCTCCACCGCCACGTGGATGGTTTGCTGCGCCGCCTGGACGGCATTCACTTTGCGTTGGCGTTCATTCACGCTGACGACCGCGCGCTTGTTGCGTTGTGTGCGGACCTCCGTGCCTGTGGTGCGGCAATGCCAGCTGCTGTGTCTGTTGTGGCCGCATGGGCTGCCGAGCACAGTCTGAGTATCAGCGCCGACAGCAGCGGTGCCGCTCTGTTCTGCATCGCCTCACACCGACAGTCTGACGAGGACACGGCCGACCATCGTCTGGGCGGTGGGAAGCCACGCGTCAATCCCACCCTGTGCGTCTGCTCGGCAATGCGATTGATCGACACCTCAATTTTGTTTTGCACGTCACCGCCGCTGCAGGGCAGACCGTGCCACGCCGCCGTCAGCTGCGGCTGGGCGCAGGAGCTGGTGCGTCCCAGCACACCATGCGATCCTTTCTGGTTGGATGCGTCCACGGTGCGTTGCACCACGGCGGTGAGGCAGTCGCACCGTTTCCGGCCCCCACTCGCCTCCACAGCCTGGAAGTGCGGCACGGCGACAGCTGCACGGCATCGCTCGTCCCACGCGTATCAGCGAAGGATACTTCTGTCCACCTGGCCGCCAGTCCAGCACCGCTGCGGAGGATTGTTGGGTTCCGCGCACCCACACGGCACGAACGCCTCACATTTCATTGATATATTGAGTACGTGCGTGGCGCAGTATGCTCGGAAACCACACCTTCGTCAATACTTGGGAAGGCAGCGACGACCATTCCGCTGCCGGGAGATGCCGTTCTCAAGGAACTGCGACGCGTCCGCAGCCGCATGGGGATCTCCCCGGACCACATCCGCGCCCCTCTTGTTGAGCACCGAGTTTTCGCCCGGGACACTGTGAGCTGCAGCGGGGTGGGCGTCTTCCGGCCACGGCACGCCAAGGACGCCCTGGACGGCGTGAGACGATCGGCCCTTGAAGCGGCCTGCACCTCTCTGGGACCGTATGACGCAGGTCACTGGACGGACGGCTTTTCGTCTCTCGCTGAGCATGCATCTGTATCCGCTGCACTGCCACTTGACTCCCCGGACGGCCGAGCTCCCTGTGGGGACTCACCGCACAGCTGCTGGCAGCCTTGCATGCACCTGCCGAGCGGAGTGTCCTGCCACTGAGCATGGCCTCGGACACTTCCCAGTTCCCCGCCTGGCAGCAGCATCCCAATCGCCCACACGAGTTACTGTCGCCACGGACTCCCTCTTGGCGATGGAGTCACTCCGCATTGGCCTGCTGGCGGTGCACGACGACGCCACCGAAGAGATTTGTACCGTGCCGCATTCACTGGTGGATTGAGGTCACACAGCTGACTCCATGTTTTCCCATGGCACTGCGGAATCCCACGCAACGTGACAGCGGACGCCGACGCCGTCAGGCCACGATCCCTCCCGCAGGACTGCGTCACTGCCTGGCATGTGGACTTCCTTACCGCCCTCAAGAGGTTATAATGGAAGGATGTGCAGGAGGAAAAGGGAGCCGCGCACACCGCTTGACAGGCGCCTGTCGGTGTGGCGAGGACTCTGTTCCTGGTGTTGACCCGGACATCGTGCCCCGAGTGGCGGCACTGCGCACAGGCGCGATGCGACTCCTGCCCACTCTTCGACAGGCCTGCACGCGCCCTGCGGATCACAAGGAACCCTCTGTGTCGGTGGTGCCGTCCCTCCCTCACTGCGGTGACCGGCCCGCCTCTGCCTCCGCCGGAACCTCTTCCCGACGTGAGCACCGCAACTCCTTGCCTGCCAGCGAGCGGCGGATTGACGTCCTCCTGCCCAACCTGCAGCAGAGTTCACTTGTCCGTCCACAGTATGAGGGCACATGCCCGACGTGCTCAGCCTGGCGTTATAATGGTTGGAGAGGGCCTCCCATGCGGATGCCACAATGGCGCCACCGTCTTCTTAACAGGTGCCTCGCGCGCAGGTCGCCATCGAAGTTGCCAAGCATGCTAGCAGGCAAGACACGCAGGAAGCACAAACGCGGGTACTCAAGATAGAACAGGCTCTTCCGCCACCGCCTCATCACAGACGCCACGGGCTGCTGATCCCCCGACGGACCACGGGAGACTCCGCCTCATCCACTGTGGGAATTGCACTTGTCGTTGGGAACTGGGACTGCGACTGTTTGTGACTGCCCCAGCCCGCACGACGGCCTGCTTGCGACGGAATACTTGCCACTTTTGTACGGACGGCCCTTGCGCTACTCACTCGTTATTGTAGCAGCATACAACCAAAACAACATAATAAGCTGTTTTTGTGGTGAATATTGGCTGCACTTCCCGTGGACCAACAATCCACGTGGTGTGCGTGGATCTCCTTTTTTATTGTTACTTTGCTTTTGTGTTGCTGTGTGCGCTGCACCTTCTTGTGTGTGTGCGCACCCTCCGTGAGGGGTGCAGACACGACGGACCGCTCTCGCCGTATGTGCATGCGGTGGAGCCTTGTGTGCCGCTCCTGTTTGCTTCTCCCTCTTCCATCTGTGTGTTGGTGTTGCGGCAGGGCTGTGTGTGTGTGTGTGTGCCTGCTGCCGTGGATTGGAGTGTGTGTCGTGCGTGGTGTGCGGCGTACGGTGCATGCCTGGCTGCTGCCCTCTCCTCATGTGGTGTGCCCTCTGTGTGTGTCTGCTGCACCTCTCTTCTCCCCTGTTGCTCTCCATGTCCCTCACTGTGCAGATCAGCCCCACACCACCGAACGACCACACTCACGATGATGATGATGACGTGCCGTCTGCTGTGCGCCCTGTTGGTGCTCGCCCTCTGCTGCTGCCCGTCCGTGTGCGTGTCAGAGATTAAACCGCTTGAAGATTCTTCCCAGACGACCACGACGAAGCCCACGATAAAGGCTCCGGTCCCTGATGAGAAGAGTATGCCTGAATCTAATACGAACTCCGTCAGTCTAACCTCCCTTCCACCAGCAGCACAACCACAGGAGACCGGTCAGCCAATGTTGTCAAGTAATGGGTCCGCTGCGGAGCAGGGACCAGGATCTACCAGTACGGGAACGAAACCAAATGAAGTGTCCAATACGTTACAGGCAGATGGTATTAAGGGTACGACAAGGTTACCCAGTGACAAGACACTATCCGAGGAACGGGCAAATAGGGAGTCTGAAGATTCTACGGAGGAGACCACGACGACCACCACAACAAAGGCACCAATCACGACGACCACCACTACAACACATGCACCAAGTACTACGACTACAGAGGCGCCAGCTGTGTCGACCACCCGCGCACCGTCACGTCTTCGCGAAATCGACGGCAGCCTCAGCAGCTCTGCGTGGGTGTGTGCCCCGCTGGTGCTTGCCGCATCCGCGCTGGCGTACACCGCTCTGGGCTGAAGAGGTGTGTGCGGGCTGTGCGTGCCAGCACCCAACCGCGGGGATTTGTGCGCGTGTGTTGTGGTCCACTGTATAAAATAAGAGGAAATAATGATTGTGTTTTGCTTCACTTGCTTCTGCTGCCGTGCTGTGTGCTCCGCGTTGTGCCCCGCATCCGTCACGTTGAACGCATCGCGGACGCACTCATAAGCATGCGCACTGGAGCCCTGGGTTTGTTTTTCTTTTCTTTTAATTTCTGTTTTTTAATTATTGTTTTTTATTGCTTTTTAAACTTCTGGTTTGCGGTGCGGTGTGCGAGCTCTGCAATCGTACTGATTCCATCTGTCTTGTGGTGTGTGCGCTGCTGCTGCTGGTGGGGTGCTGCCATTTGTTGCTGTGCGGTGGCTGTGCGTGGTGTAGCGGCTGTGTTTATCTTTTTGCTTCCCTCTCTGTTGACGGGGAGTTACTTTTGCTGAAGGCTGCACGCAAGTGACAGGAGTGGTGGCGATGATGACTGGCCGTGTGCTGCTGGTGTGTGCCCTCTGCGTGCTATGGTGGCGACAGCGGTACGGATGAGTATTCGCTCTCGCGGTGGCGTGCTCAGCTGCGGAGGGAGTGCGCGATGGATGGCCGCAGAAGGACAGGAGGAAGGGCGAATGTTTCCGCCGTGGAGGAATGCGTGCGTAATTGGATGGCCGTCGTCGTTGGAGGCGCCAAGGGATTGCTGTTGCTGCTGACACCGCTGAGGATAAGGGGGTATGCTGCAATCCAATGAACACTCAACGAGATGCGTCACCAGCCGCGTAGATCGCCTGCCGTTAGAACGAGGAAAAGACAAGGCGGAGCGCCACCAGCGGCACCGGCAGTATGTGGAGGATCAGCGGGATGGCGTTATTTGCCGCCCGAAATGAAAACGAATGTGTCGGAGTCACACGGCGCATTGAGTGGTGTTGGACAGCGGGAGGAGTCAACCGTGAATGGTTCAAAAGGCAAGGCTCAGATGCTGATGGCTCCTGTCACGGTGGGGCGCCTGGGACTCGCGCCCCAAAGGGATCGAGCATTGCCCTCTTCGGATGGCAGTCGCGCCACCGGCAGTCCGGAAAACGAATCCGCTCAGGATGAAAAGTCGAAAGTCGCTGAGTCATCGGAGGGCGGTGGGACAGAGGGAGGAGCCCAGCCCCCAACACAGCCTGCCATTGGGGGCGAAAAGGATCACAACCAACAAAACCAGCCGCAGTACCGGGCGAACAAATAATACAAACAGCGGGGGCAGGAACCGCCGCAAGGGGCAGAAGGGTCTGACAGCCGACATGAAGTTTCATGGCCAGAGAATGGCGAGGGTAACGCCAAAACACGATGTGGGTTTAAACACAACTTCTGCACAAGTACCGGGTGATGCACCACAAGAAGAATCGGGAGGAGAAGTTGCAGTAGAAGCAGCTGGTGGAGATGAGGCAGAAAGGAAAGAAGTTGCAGCACACCAAGACACCGTGCAGCATGCACCATCTCCCGTTTACGAGGGGCCATCGCAGTCATCGTCTTTTTCAGATGGCAGCTTTGCTGCATTAGATTGGAAGGAGGAATGCACCGTGCAGGAGATTTCCAAACAGCCTCCACTTTCTGACGCTGCAGAGAAAATAGAGGACCGCCAGCGTGGAGACAAAGCGCCTGCTGCCGAGGCTGACAACAGCACCGCATTTCTTCCAGCTGCAGAGTTTAACGCCGCCGCCAGCAGCACCACGACCAATCATAATGCGAGCCATCTGAACGGAGAGGATGCCAGACCCTCCACAGAAGAAGTGGAGGAGTAGAATGCAACAACAAAACCGAAGGCACATCAACCGGCAAAGTTACCCCCGCAGCCCACAGTGAGGGGTTCAAGAGGGACACCGCCACTAACAATGTAAACACAGCTTCGCATGGCGGCAGTGACAGCAGCACCGTAGTCTCCCACACCACCTCCCTTTCTTGTTTCTTGTTGCGTGTGCAGCAGCTCCTGTTGCGGTGGTGGCCGGGCCTGCATGACGTGGAGTGCGATGAATGTGGACGAAGGCCTACTGCAACTGAACTGCTTGTGGTGAATATTGGCTGCACTTCCCGTGGACCAACAATCCACGTGGTGTGCGGGGATCTTATTTTTATTGTTACTTTGCTTTTGTGTTGCTGTGTGCGCTGCACCCCCTCTTGTGTGTGTGCGCACCCTCCGTGAGGGGTGCAGACACGACGGACCACTCTCGCCGTATGTACATGCGGTGGAGCCTTGTGTGCCGCTCCTGTTTGCTTCCCCCTCTTCCATCTGTGTGTTGTTGTTGCGGCAGGGCTGTGTGTGTGTGTGCCTGCTGCCGTGGATTGGAGTGTGTGTCGTGCGTGGTGTGCGGCGTACGGTGCATGCCTGGCTGCTGCCCTCTCCTCATGTGGTGTGCCCTCTGTGTGTGTCTGCTGCACCTCTCGTCTCCCCTGTTGCTCTCCATTTCCCTCACTGTGCAGATTAGCTCCACACCACTGAACGACCACACTCACGATGATGATGACGTGCCGTTTGCTGTGCGCCCTGTTGGTGCTTGCCCTGTGCTGCTGCTCGTCCGTGTACGCGGCAGACGCTCAGTTGGAGGGTACTGAAAATCATGTTGAAGAACGAGACAGCATACTGCCGCCTCCTCCACCAGAGCCATCAACTGCTAAGCCGCCTATTGCTCGCGGAAGCGTCACCAGTGATTCGTTCTCTGCATCAGAGGATAAACAGGGGAAAGGTAATTCAGAGTCGTCAGGTTTGGGGTCCTCTGCGGGCTCGGGAAAAAGTGCCGTAGAGGGAGATTCCACCGTTACGGAACCGCAGTCAAATAACGCGCCCAATACGATACAGACAGAAGTTAATAATGGCACTACAGGACCACGAATTGGCACAAGTTCTTCCGCTGACCAAACAGATAATAACGCCAAAGATGTTTCCGCAACAACCACGACTACAACAAAGGCACCAACCACGACGACCACCACTGCGCCAGAGGCACCAAGTACTACGACTACAGAGGCGCCAGCTGTGTCGACCACCCGCGCACCATCACGTCTTCGCGGAATGGACGGCAGCCTCAGCAGCTCTGCGTGGGTGTGTGCCACGCTGGTGCTCGCCGCATCCGCGCTGGCGTACACCGCTGTGGGCTGAAGAGGTGTGTGCGGGCTGTGCGTGCCAGCACCCAACCGCGGGGATTTGTGCGCGTGTGTTGTGGTCCACTGTATAAAATAAGAGGAAATAATGATTGTGTTTTGCTTCACTTGCTTCTGCTGCCGTGCTGTGTGCTCCGCGTTGTGCCCCGCATCCGTCACGTTGAACGCATCGCGGACGCACTCATAAGCATGCGCACTGGAGCCCTGGGTTTGTTTTTTTTTTCTTTTTAATTATTGTTTTTTAATTATTGTTTTTTATTGCTTTTCAAACTTGTGGTTTGCGGGGCGGTGTGCGAGCTCTGCAATCGTACTGATTCCATCTGTCTCGTGGTGTGTGCGCTGCTGCTGCTGGGGTGCTGCCATTTGTTGCTGTGCGGTGGCTGTGCGTGGTGTGGCGGCTGTGTCTATCTTTTTGCTTCCCTCTCTGTTGACGGGGAGTTACTTTTTGCTGAAGGCTGCATGCAAGTGACAAGAATGATGGCGATGATGACTGGCCGTGTGCTGCTGGTGTGTGCCCTCTGCGTGCTGTGGTGCGGTGCCGGCGGTGTCGGATGCGCTGAGCGCTTGGCAGCTGCTGCCGATATACCTGTTGATTCTGCGAGTGGTGGTGGAGGTTTGCTGGAAACGCCACCGCCAGTGCTGTCACGTTTACTTCCAGGAGAAACTGACGATGCTGAAGCCGAAGATGAAAATGAAAATCAATGAGTTGCTGGAGATGAAGAAACAGAGAATGGGAGTGAAGAAGAAAAGTCTGCAACTGTGCTGGGCATTACAAACGGCACTCTGATTAGGCTTCAGCAGGAAGCACCACACACCATTGCAGGCAAAACTTCGGCAGGAAACGTTGAAGTTGCTGATGTGGAAGGAGTTGGAGAAGAGGAAAAGGTTGAAGAAAAAAAAGGTGATAAATTCAAAGAAGATCTTGGAATCACTCCGTTGGCAGTGACTGAATCGAATCCGACTGACGAAGAGAACCCACGGCCACAGCCACCGAATGAAAAATAAGAAGGTGAGGTGGCGAACCCCTTAAATGGCAGCTCGCCGGGACTTGGAGTTCAGCAACAAGTTTTATCGGGTTTGTTGGATGGCGCACCAGCCAAGAGTACAACGGACGCTAATCCATCGTTCCCATCTAGAGGTGGACGTGCTGTTGACAACAGTGAGGGGAGGGAGGATGGCTCAGTGATTACTGAACTGCCTGCCGCCAGAGAAGGACAAGACAAAAAGGAATATGGCAGAAGCGTTATATCAACGACAGATGGGAGAAAACATTACAATTATCAGTGAATAAAGCCGCCAACACGAGTGATGCGGCAATAAATGACAACAGCAGAAGCAGCCCCACAGCAGCTGCGGCCCTGCAGTCTGACGATGGCTCAGAAAGCAATCCGGCCACAAACGGCTTGAGCCAACCCTCCAGTGGAAGAATCGCACAGCTCAGTACGACTCCCAATCCCAACGACGCATCAGGCACCACAGAGAATGCGACATCCCAGAGTGCAGGAATCCCAAGAGCACCAATTAACACAGCCAAAACAGATGATACGGTGCCACCTGACGACAGTGACAGCACTGTGGCCTCTCACACCACCTCCTCTTTTTTGCTTCTTCTTGTTGTTACGTGTGCGGCTGCTGCTGCGGTGGTGGCTGCGTGAGAGTGAGGGAGAGAGAGCCGTGCACCGCCCGCACACACACTCGTCCTTCACTCTCTCACTGTGTGTGTCCCCTTGCATGGACTCTCGCCCTCACCTCATCCCACGAAGCACACACATAATGTGCCCATTGTATATATTGCATGCACACCCATGCAGGCCCGTTGGTGCCCTCTTTTGCACGACACGCACCGCTGCCGTCCTGCCTGGCTGCATGGGCGGAGCACCGTAACTGTTTCTGTTTTGTTTTTATTGCATTGAGTGGGCGACCTCTCTCTCTCTCTTTCTCCCTGTGTGTGTGTTTTGCTTTACGGGAGCAATGAGAGTGTGTGCGCTGGTCGTCCCACGCTTCGGCTTTTTGTTTTGTTTTTCATTGTTTTGTGGTTGAGAGCACCCATTCCGCGGGCTGCGTGTGTGTGTTTGTGTGTGATGATATGAGTAATTTGCGTGTGTTCTATCTGCCTCTCTCTGCCGTTGCTTTCTTCTGACTCTCTTGTGGCGCACAGCTGCTCTGCAAGTATAGGCGCTGAAACACACACACACACACACACGATTCTGGCTGCTGCGGCCCTTGAGATGGGGGATGAAGGGAGCCTGCAACGCTTCTCTTTGTCGTGCTGCGGGCGTGGGATGTTGGCGGCGTGCAACAGTTTACTAATGTGGTTTTTTATTGACGGTGCCTCGGATAGGTGCGGAGCGATTCCCGCCCAGCGGCTGGGGGTGCCGACGTGCCTCTCCCGCTGTGTATTTGATGGCGGGGGATTCCCCGGCTGTGCGAGGTGATGTGCGCCGGCGGCGGAGCGGGTGCGCTGAAGGAGACAACGGTGAAATGGCTGGCGGTAGCGCGTTGGTGCTGCGGAGGGCGGCTGTGGCCTTTTGCCTCCCGCTGGTTATTTTATGTTTGGGCGTCGCCTGGTGTGTGCTGACGCGTGGCAGAAGCACCCGCCGTGACTCCTGCCAGTTGTGGTGGTGACCGTCGCTGTGTGTTCCCGGTGCAGTCATCTTCCTTCTGCTGTTCCTTGTGTCTGCGTGCGTGAGTTGTTGTTGTTGGGAGTGACTGCGGCGGGGATGATGATGCCACTCACAGTGTGGATGGGTGGCGGTGCTCGCTGTCTCACCTCTTTGCTTGGCTTGTTTTCTCTTTTCTCTCCGCCTCACGCACACACACCCTAGGAAGGAAGTTACGACTAAACGCTACTGTGAAATTGTAAGGCACTGAAAGGACCAACAACAGCACACACACACCGCACACACATATTTGTATGCTCTCACTTGTTGCTGCAGTGAAGACACCCCGCACACACAACCGTTGCCTTAACACCGGATCCAGCGGAAGGAGGAGGGAAGGAGGAGAGAGTGAGCGGCAGAGGCCCAACATGTCGCGGCGTGTGTTTACTTTCGCAGTGCTGCTCTTCCTCCTTGTCGTGATGATGTGCTGTGAGCGTTGTGGGGCTGCAGCCGCTGAGGAGGATCTTCCGGCAGTCCCAAAGTATCAATTGGAGGACATTGCTGATGGAAATCTGGAGTCGTTTGGAATTCCCGGCATTTTGAAAGTGGGGAATGACGTATTTGCCGTTACTGAGGCGCAGTGCAAGAAGGATGGAGAAGATACCTTTACTGGCATTGCATCCCAACTTCTCACGATAAAAGACGATAACAAACCGGAGGAAGCGCTTAAGGATGCCAGAGTGATACGAGTTCTGGAGAAAAGCACTTCCACAAGCAAGGGAGTAGATGTGAGCCGGCCAACAACAGTTGTGGATGGAAGTGATATTTACATGCTTGTTGGAAAATACAGCCGGAATGTTGCTGCTGGTGCTCGGGAGAGTGCTGCAGCTCAATCGGGACTTTTGCTGGTGAAAGGGACAGTCAGTGCTTAAGGAGATGACAGCGAAAAAAAAAACCAATGGAATGTGAACCAGCTACCGGTCGGCACTTTATCTGAGGGCGAACACGATTCCTCGATGCAGTTGATTGGAGGCGGTGGATCGGGT